GTTTATTGGAAATATCACTACAATAACTATAGTATAGTACCCTCCAAGCTGCGAGGATGACGAAGTATATCTTGGCTGAGCTGACATGCAAAGTGCAAAGAGAACAAGTTCAAAAGTAGCGGTAGTGCCGACAGTACTGCGCTCTGGTTGATTTGGAGAGACTGTTCTGCCTGATGCACACACGTGTAGCTCTGAGCTTATCTCATGGCTGCCGCAGGTCGCGTTTTAGCGACTGTCTTCTTGCCACATGAGTACGGTCGCTTGGCTTTCTTACCGAAGCGAGCACAACGATTCAGGTACATGGTTATGCAGCTTCACGAAGTACAACACCGTGAAGCTATTGCGCATAGGGGAACTCTCGTTTAGAAGCCGTGCGTACCCCCTAAACCACGAAAAGACTTGTTCAAATGCCGAGGAGTTTACCCCCTTGAACCTTGTGGCCAACCTCTTCTTGTAGATGGGGTTGCAAGGTCATGTTTTGGTGTGGCCCTTCGCGTGAAAGCCGTCGATGCTCCAGTACTTGATTTGTTTTAGGCTGTTGTCGGACTGGGCTGTGGGCAAGAAACCGCGGGCACGGTCCACGATTAGGCCATCCAAGTGCTTGTACAAATGCAAGATTTCGACAAGCGAGTCAGACAATAATAATCTCGTTATCTCATTCCTCTCCGGAACAGACATGGATCTGACAGCCAGAATGCGAAGATCACGAGGATGGACCAACATGAACCAGCCATGGCCGAACGGCTTTATCCGACCATGTTTGGGAGGTTTGCCTGCGTGCTTGCGCGAGTTCGCACATTTCATGTGGACATTTTGATGCCCATCAGCGACAAGTTCTTTGACTGTACTCTTGCGCTTCGGTGGAAAGACCTTGAGATGGAGGTGTTGATGGTATGCTTGAGGTGTGATCTCGTCGCCGACCTTGATGCTGAGATGTAGCTGTGGTGGATATAGTTCCTGGACGACATGATGGCGGAGGCGTGCATCTTTGCAAACCCTATTGACTGCTCTCCTTGAGCAGTGTTGAAAGTGCTGGTACGTGTGCTTGATTGCCATGGAGAGACACACAGGCGCGGAACTCCAGGAAGCTATGGTACTTCAAGTAGTCCGCAGTAAAGCCGATCTTCGTCCCCACAAAGAGAGCCCCGATCTCTTCAATGCTCTTGGGGGTGGCTGTAATGTACTTGCGAGAGAGATCCCAAACCAAATTTGGCCCTGCACCCGAAGCTGCAACAGCGGAAGCTCTGCACGATGATGCGTTCCATTCCGCTCATGCCGTAGAAGATGGCATTGATCTCGTGGCCTGGCTTCAGGACGGAACTCGAAGAGCAAAAGCATCGTGTGAGATATGTTTTATACACAGCTCTGGCGGGCGGAAGGGCCGCTTGACGCTTGGTCGGCGTCGGCATCATGGATGTAAAGCTCTCAAAACTTGACCCCAAATGTCTAACGAAGTGGGAAAGAGTTCGATGCAGACGCTACATGCGACTGTGTGTTTGCAAGTTCTCTGGTTTTCCACCGGCATCTGTTCGCAGTCCTTGTCAGGGGATCTGTGTGGTCAAAATGGTCCGCCTTGATAAGAGATAGGAGGGCATGTAACCTGCTGCTTCTTCGTCCGCATCATCGTCGTAGTCGACCCTCTGTTGCTTAGCAGGGGGTGATGCAATGGCTGGACTGGTGATGGTAGCTGCCGTCGACATGTTGGTTAGTGGCCCGCCGTAAGCCTCAGCCCACTGGCCGCGGGACCGCCCCCTGGCCAAATACTCCTTCTCGGAAGGAGAAGCAAGCAGCTCGCTGACCTCAGCTTCAAGAGCTTCCTGGTACTTCCTTGTAGAGGTTGTAGAATTTCTTGTTGGTGGGCCTCAACCTGTCCTTCTGCATGGAACAGGAGCCTGCTCCGGGTGCTCGCCTGCCAAGCGAACGTAGACTTCCAGATCTCCCGCAATGACCACCGAAGCTCTCTTCAGGATGGCCATGAGGTGGGGGGGCGAAGGGTTGTTGACAGCAGGGTTGAACATAACTGAACACATCTTTGAAGGCATCCCAGCCAATGCTGTCGCCCATGGTCATTCGTGGCTCCTTTGTTGAGGAGTATGCGGACTTGGTTGTGGACAAATTTGGCGGCCCTATACCGGGCACCCTATCCTTCAAGTTCATGGAGTGCAGCAAGGGGTCATCGAGAAGAACCGTCTTCTAAATCCAGGAATGTGGCCATCAAGACCACGAGTTACCACGAGGTGGCGAGCGACCGCCAGCGCGGGGATGATGGCAGTTGGCGTTTCTTCCGACACCTGCACGGCCCAAAGGACAATAAGCCGATGCCCAGTCATAGTGGGCATCACCAGTGGCACGACATTCTCCAAGAAGCTTTGGTCCAAGTCATGTAGTAGAAGTGGAAAGAAGTATTCTGGATCATTCTGTGAGCTGCCCGTGGACCGACTGATGCAAGCTTTGTTGACAACATGATGGGGCCAGCCATAGATGGGAGAATCGCGGTCGCGAACATTGAATAGACACCACAAGAACTGCTCGTTCTTGGTGTTGGACATAGGCGCGTGGTCGTTGATATAGGCAATTCCTCCTCGTAGCTCGTCGTCGCTGGGCTCCCAGTTTTTCCCATCACCCGAGCTTCTTCATGGCTTCACCTTGTTCACCAATGATTGCGTCAACCATTGATCTCCCTGGATGCGGTTGAGCATGTAGAGGAAAGCGCACTTGACGTGATCGTTGTTGTTTGCGACCTGGTAGTTGATGACGCTTACCTTATGTGCACAGAAGGCTTTGGCAAGTCCCAGAGGAATGAAGACGGAGGAGTGGAAGAACTTCAGTACCGTGTAGTTGCCGTCCTGCTCAGGGGCTATGGCCATTTGCAATACGCAGGAGTCTCCAAGAGCATCACGAGGATGCACTGAGTCAGATAACTCGTTAACCTTGGGCGGATCCGAGTTGTAGACATTGCGGATGATATCGCAATCTGCACGATGTGGAAGAACTCCTTGAATGTCTTACCTTTGGCGTTGGGGGCATCAATCAGCGGAAGGTCTTTGATGGAGAATTCACCTGAATCATTGAAGTTGCGGATGAGAGCAGACTGGCACTTGATGTACGTCATCTTCGCTGCGATGATTGCGTCATCCATGGTGTGCAAAGCGAGGATTGCTGAGGTCACTGAGGGCAGTATCTGTATCAATGAGCAAAAGCTTGAGGAAGCGACAGGCACGACTTGTTTACAAACACGGCCATGTTTATAAAGTTGTTTTGGGGCTTCAGTTGACTTCAAGTATGATGCTTTTCCCAAATTGTGCAATGGCTCTGGTGCTACCGCAAAAAGTCGACTAAGCTTACACTCACTTCAGCCACTTGGCCTGGTCCCTTTGGAGTTTGGCCCGGTGCACAGCCTTTAACAGAGCCATGGCGATGTCCGCTTTCTCCTGGTTCTCCCCTGCCGAGCGCTCGAGGAGGTAGAGGCCCTCTTGCCAGACGTCATGCCATTCCGCGGGCCATGTGTGGCAATCCGTAGGCAATGTCCAAGAAGATGATGAAGAACTCGAGTATGAGGAATCCGAGTCCGAGCCGTCATCCTTGGTGTCCACCGCGTTCTCAGCCTGTGTGTCCTGGGTGTTCTCTGTCTCCTTTAGTTCCAAGTCGGGGTTCTCTGCGAGCAAGTCCTTGGCATCCTTCGCGTTTTTGGCTACCTCCAACTCGGGGTTCTCTGTGAGCAAGTCCTCGGCGTCCTTCTCTGCGTCCGGCTGGTCGTTTACATCACCGTCCAAGATGGCCAGGGGTTTGGTGCCGGTGCCCTTCTTCGGCGACGACAACCACTTTGTTGAGCATCTCCAAGGCCTGTGGGGTCCATTCATCCTTCAAGCCAGTGGTCAAGTTGAGAGACCGTTGGATGCAGCAGATGTGAGATTGGAGCTGACGACGAGAGAGAGTTCGCTTCGATGCGTGTACATTTGAAGTCTGCGAATCCATCTGCGACATGATGTCCTGAATCGGCGGCATTCCGGAGGAAGTGTTCTGCGAAGGCGGCGTGGTAGAAGAACAAGCAGTTGTAGCAAGGTTGACGCTGGTGAGCTGGAGCTTACACACACCGTTCTCGAACTCGACGAAACCCGCCACTGCCGACGACCGCTTCATGCTTCTCTACTGCTAAACCGCGAAATGCCGCTAAGCACGTCTTAATCCGGAAATGCTGCATCAACAGCTTTGTCAGCTGACTTCATCATGGGAATCGCAACATGAGCACTACAAAAATTACAGTAGCATAGTCTAGGGTAGTCCAAGTGCAGCCGAGGTGCATTATCATACTCAACAAGAGATCTAACTCTCTACGTGTTTGTCTCTACATGCTCGCAGACAGAGGGCTTGCCTCTAAAAACAAGAAATAAGTGTATATATATATATATGTACTGCATATATTATCAATTCATTTACTCATACAGATACGGCCGACGGCCCGTCAGCTCAGCGCCATACCAGGGCAGAGCGGCGTTGGTTTTGATTTGTTTTTTGGGGCGGGGGGGGGCACAAGTCTTGGGACATGTACCTGACACTTCCCCCCCTTCCATAAGAGTTAAACATCATCTGGCAGTAGCTGTTTATAAGCACATACAACATCAGTTGAGAAGAGGAGGCACATGCACGAGCACGCTATGACGGGACAACATGTTTATGAACGAACCCAGTGTTTATAAACAGACCTCGTGTCATACAACAACTCAGACTTGCTGCTGTAGGTCCAAGACAACAACATAAGCATACACACGTACCAAACTAGTACACAATTGATGCAGACACCCACGCACAACCATCCGAAACATACAAAAACACTAAAAAAAGTGGGTTGCCAAAACGCAGGCCCCACAGCCCCTCTTCTGTATTGCTAATTAGCAGCATCTGCCTGCACATTTCGAACTGAGCTTGTGGAGTTTGTCGAACGCCAGAGCCCAAAACTCCTAAGTTGAGATTCGGGTTTTGACGCGGTTTTGGTTGAGAAGGTCCTACGGCCTTGCTGCGCTCATTTGCGAGCTGAGCCTCGTCGTTTGGCAACTTCGGGCTTCTCGGCACGGTCTGAGAAAGCTTTGCTTGTTTTATTGGCCACTCTTTGCAGGAGCTCTGAGGCCTGTTTTGAAACACTGCCGTTGTGCATATTCCGCCCCTCCCCGTGCAGAGAAGAGAGAGAGGGAGAGAGAGAGAGAGGATGACCCGACTGATGGCAACAATTCCCCCTTCAAGCTAGTTTGTTTGGAGGCTTGGTTCACGATCGGTGCTGGCTTGCTGGCCCGAGCCTTTGGACAAGCTCAGGAGTTGATCACACATTCGTTTGAATTGCAAGATCGAGTCGCTTAGGTGGTTGAGGTGTTGAAACGCATCTCTGAGATGCAACACCGGCTTCCCAGCGCAGAGGGACAAGACCCCGGCCTGGCAGCCTTGAGGGTCATCGAAGGACGAACGAGGGCGCCGGCGTTTAGTTTAGTCCCTTAATGCTTCACGCTTCCTTTCTGCTTCTGCAGCTAGATAGTGGCGGAAAGATATTGTTTGTTTGCGTTGCCGCCGTCAGGATTCATCTTGTTCTGTGCTGCACGGCACAAGAGGATCCGCAAGGATGCGACCGCAGCTCTGGAACGAATCCTGCTCAAAAAAAGGCTGCCGCCTTGCACTTCGGTGACTGGGTCCATTTAGAACCGACCTTGGTTCCACCAAAGAACCGTCCCAGTCATCCTCCTTCTGGCTCAATTCGTCCTAGGTGCGCATCGAGGCTGCTTTGGTGAGCGTCGGCTGGCAAAAGGGTGCAGCGAGTGGGCTACAGAAGCCACACTTACTTGACAACGCGGGAGTGGCTTGGACTTGCTGTCATTGCTGTGTGCTTTTCCATCGGGTTCTGGACTTTCTTTTCCTGAGGAGGACTGGCTGAATGAGCTGGCGATGGCTCTGAAGCCAAATGCAGAAGCAGAAGCAAAGATGACACGAACCAGGCAGTTTGCTTTGTCCTTTTCTGCAGAAGGGGCACACCGGGGCATTGGGCTGCTGTTCTGAGTCTGCCCTTCTCAGGGAAATGCTCGAAGCAGTGGTGCAGAATCTTTTTCCTGGTGCACGGTGTGAGCCTTTCCTGCAAGCAGATCGAAAGCCGCAGGCCGTCCTGTGTTTGCGGTGCCTTGTGCAAGGACTACTTCGGAAGCGCAGTGAACGGCTTCGAAACTCGACTGAGTGATATCGATGCAGTGATCGTCTTCAGCAAGGAGGAGATGGAGCGGCTATCGCAGAGAAATGGGCTCCCGTGCACTCCCAAGCCACGGAAAGGTTAAGCAGATTCCTCAGTTCGTGGCTGTGTCGCTCAGGTCTCCTGCCTCGTCGCCCGCCCTGAAAGCAGCAGCCCAGCCTTTGAAGGGACTGGCATTGGCCAGGCTCTTCCGCTGAAGCCCAGATGCCCGGAGACTAAACTCAGAGTTTGAATTTCCCCAATTGAGGCGCTTGCAGAAGGAGAGTGCTGCCGTTGCTGTCCGAATGATGGGAGAGGCTTTGGTGGCCAACGAGGCGCTACCTTGGACAGTGGGTACCGGGCTTTTGGTATCAGAGGGAGGGAGACTGACAGTGAACCTGTGTCGGCTTCACCATCGATATTATTCTCCCCAGTTCGCCTAGTTGCAAGTCATAGAGATGGGTCAGAAGGCCGTGAAGGCACGAAGAGAGGCACTCCTGTGGAGGTCACACATCAGAGCGAGCCATGAGTAAAGTCGATTGCATCTGGAAAGTTGTGTGTCATTTGCGGCACCTGCCTTTAATTTCAGCTTGTGACACTAAAGTCTCGCATACTTGGCATGAGCATGCATCAGCTTCGGATTCGGCTAGCCCGGGTACGCCGTAGGTAAAGCGGCTAGACACAGCTGGATGATCCCCTTCATCAGAATCTGAACTTGCGCCAGAAAAGAAGGGATCTAGGAAGAGGGAGCCCGCTCCAGCCAGGAGTGGGGCTTGGAGGTGAAGGAGATGGTGACAGAAGCACGTGTTCCAGTGCTGAAGTGCACGAGCAGAGAAGGGGTGGCCATCGAGATTCCCCTGCAAACACGTTCACAGTATCTTTTCATGCGGCCCTGCGCTGCAGAGTGACCGAGGACATCACCTTCAACAACCTGCTGCCCCTCTACAACTCGAAGCTACTTAAGGCTTATGCGAGCCTGGACGACCGTGTCGCGCGGCTGGGGCGGTTGGTGAAATTTTGGGCCAAGAGCCGGAATCTGGGCAGCAGGTGGAGCAGGTTTGGGTTTCGACCTCTGCCTCAAGGTAACACTGCCTATAGTAATGTGAGGTCTTGATTAATACCTCCCCCCACGCCGCTGCTGAGTATTAGGAATACTGTACCGGTTCCCGCATAGGTTCCGGACGATCGAGGTGGCTGGAATAATGGGAGGGCACGTGCAAAGTCGTCGTTGTCCTGGTGTTGTTGTTGTTGGTGGTGGTAGTAGTAGTAGTAGTAGTAGTAGTAGTAGTAGTGGTAGTGGTAGTAGTAGTAGTAGTAGTAGTAGTAGTAGTAGTAGTAGTAGTAGTAGTAGTAGTAGTAGTAGTAGCCGTAGCCGTAGCCGTAGTAGTAGTAGTAGTAGTTGTTGTAGTAGTAGTTGTTGTTGTAGGAGGCGCCCCACCCTACCAACCATCTCTCCTAAGAGCACATCCATTTTACTCGGTACTTGCAGTATTTTCGCGATGCCCTTGTCCAACAGCAACCACCTCTGTTGAGCACTGTTGCTGCTTGGGGAGGTTTACGTACTGCGTTGATAGCACTTCCAGTATTTGGTATTTGCAATACTTTCGTGATGTTATAGTTCAATACCAACCGCCGCTGTTGAGCACTGTTGCTGCTGGGCGGGTGGGTGGGTGGGGGGGTGGATGGGTGGGCAGGTAGGTGGGGTGCCTGATGACGTACTTTTTAAGAGCACATCCATCTTACTCGGTATTTACCGTACTTTCGTGATGTTGTAGTCCAATACCAACGATGATGATTTTTTGGGTTTGGGCGCCAGGTGGTTGGTAAACGGGGTGGCTAGTGGTACGGTGAGTTGGCAGTCGTCGTCGTCGCGGTGGTGGTGGTGTTGGCGGTGGTCGTGGTAGAAGCCGACGTAGAAGTAGTAGTAGTAGTAGTAGTAGTAGTAGTAGTAGTAGTAGTAGTAGTAGTAGTAGCAGTAGTAGTAGTTGTTGTAGTAGTAGTAGTCGTCGTCGTCGTCGTAGTAGACACCCCCCCACACCAACTACACTTGCCCTCAACCATGCTAAGACAACATCCATTTTACTCGGTATTTACGGCACTTTCGTCATGTGCGATCATCCTAATAGGCCAGCAATATCACCACAAGAGCCGTTTAACTCGGTATTTACGGTACTTTCGCGATGTCAGACTTTGTTACATATTCTGAGCCCCTACTTCTCGACTATGCGTATTAAACTTTGCTGTTTGGAACTGTTTGCAAAAAAACTCGAAATTGGTTGGGGGAAAGCTTCTTCGGGGATGATCACGACACTGTTTTGCGGACACCCTGAACAATATTTCCACACTCAAGCGCGTACACACCACACACACACACCACTTCAAAAACAGACCCTCCTACGCAGAGGTTGGGCGGTAGGGGTGTTGGCGAGCCCCTCCCACGTACAGCTGGCATCTTTGTTTTTGATGTTTAGAAGATGTTGCGCTTCAGGTTTTAGAAATGTTAAACCCTTCTTGGCAGCACCTGGGTTTTGCACGGTATTTATAGCGTTTTCGTACTATCCGACCACCTGGGGTTTATCAGTTTCTTCCCCGTCGAGCTTGCAACTCCAGCTGCTGTCGCAGTTTTGGGGCCTGAGCCCCTGCAACTTCACCGGCTGTGTCAGTTAAGGAAACTGAGCCTCTGCAACTTCTGCAGCTGTCACAGATAAGGAGCCTGAGCCCGTCCATCTTCTGCAACTATCGCAGTCAAGGCGCCTAGCAGCTACCGCTGCCCAGCCCGGATGGAACAAGTGTAGTTGGGAGGGGGGGGTGGCTAGTAGTAGTAGTAGTAGTAGTAGTAGTAGTGGTAGTAGTAGTGGTAGTAGTAGTGGTAGTAGTAGTAGTAGTAGTATATAGTAGTAGTAGTAGTTGAAGAGTTCCGTAGTCAAGTCGCCCTGCAGCTGAAGCCTGCATTCCAAGCCTTCGCCTTCGGAGTATCGTTCCAACTTTATTGGAAGATCCCCGAAGGAATCCGCGAAACCATGTACTCTCGGCGCACGACCCTCATGCTTTTCCACGCAACCACAAAGGTGTCGAAGACCGCTTAACAGCCTAGGCGGTTTATGCTAGGACATCTATGTACACCTAGCTTGCCTACACCGTGATTGTTGGCTCTCTGAGCCCATTGCCGCTTGACACAAACAAGGTTCCCGAAATCGTACAAGCTCCACTCATACGTCTTTGCGGGAAGGGGGCATCAGGAATTTGCAGTAGTTGTAGTAGGAGGAGTAGGAGTAGGAGTAAAGCGCCATGAGCGGTTCAAACATGAAAGGGGTTTCATCAGCATGGCTTTGAGCTGCAGTGGTCACGTTCGTGCTTGGATCAGCGATCTTTTGATCATTTGCTGTTGTGGTCGTGGAGGAACTATCCGAGCGAGACACTGTCGGCAATTTTATTTTGGATTCGGGAACATGCTGCAAACCAAACTACGATTTCTGCGAACTGAACCCCTTGCAGCGGAGTTAGGCTTTTCTGTCCCAGTACTACATGATGACAAAGCGGAGGCCTGCTCATCTCGGTCCCAAGTCCGAGAGCTAAACGCAGAAACATCCAGACGAAGCAGTGAATCTTTAGCTGGCGTGAGGGTATCCAGGGAGGCCCCGACACTGGATGATACTGGATGCAGTCGCTGCGGCGACGAAGGACGGGGACGGAAGGCTGCCATCAGATCCGCCAAAGACAGGATCACAAAGCGCTCGCTCAAGAGAGCCTTGAAGTGCGCAGAGCGGGACGGACAGGCCCCGTACAAAGGACGCACCATTTTGCGATGGACTCCTCCTTACGAGCTGCCGCAGCCGAAACCGCAGGTTCTGCCGTGGACGACGCGGAGGGACAGGGTCAAGGTGGTGCAGTGGAACGGTGGAGGCTTCGCTCAGGAACTGAGAGTAGAGTGGTATGCCTGGCTAAAGCGGACCCTGACATTGGCATCTTCGTAATGATAGAAACGCATTGGGATTTCTCCAATGACTTTCAGTCTGAGGGCTGGCTGCTGGTACACAGCGGCACGAAGAGCCAACGAGGCGCTGGCGTCCTGATTGGCATCCGCGCGGACCTGACTGACCGCAGCACACTCAAGTGGAACGAGATATACCCTGGAAGGCTGCTAAATGTACGGTGCTGTATTGGTCTGCAGCAATACGACATACTGGCCATCTACCAATTTGCATTTGCCAGAGTGACGGCTGACAAGCAAACAGAGTTGCTGGCGAAGCGACACCGTATTTGGAGGAAAATGGATCCAACCCTTGGAGGAGTTCCATTCCGATCTAATCTGATACTGGCAGGAGACTTCAACTTGACACTGGCCCCCTTGGCGGAGATGGCTGGCCATGGCATCAAGCTCGGCGGTGATCAGGACTGGCTGAAGTCCGAAAGGGCAGAGGTGATGAGCAATCTTCAAACCAGACGACTGGTGGCGCTGAACACATGGGGGAAGCCAGCAATCACGTACCGGCATCCAAATGGAGACTCGCAGATTGATTGTATCATGATTCGGAAGCAAACTGCGGACATGGAAGCCAAACAGTGTAAACCCGTAAGCACGCAGCTGGCAGGCTGGCGTTCCTCGGGACACTTTCCCATTGCGGCATCCATCAAGCAGGACTGGAAGCCGTGGCGTCAGGCCATCTCCACAGCCGACTCGACACCGCCGGTAGTGCCCAAGCTGGAATATTCCATCCAGTGCAGGATCTTGTGATACATCACGGCATCCACATGGTAGGAGCTGGGACCCTCAACTCATATGAGGAGGATTTGAAGCTTGAGTACTCTGCGCAGCAGGTCTATCTCATTCGGGGAGTTCAGATTGCAGGCCTTTCCGTCCCGGCGGGAAACGCAGCAGAGGCGTTGCGGTTGGCATGATAGGCCGAGGGCAGGCTACGTGGGCGCAAATCGAGCGCCTGCTCACGATGCTACCGTGCGACAAAACTCTGCGCTGGGCACAGGATGGGTCGGGCATAGGCACCCCGCCGAAGAGATTCACAACAGGTGCGTATGTGCATGGTCCAATGTTGAGGACAACAATTCATTCCAGGCAATACCCATGGGTGACTCGGGCCCTTGCTGGAGTAATCAGGACATGGGATGGAGAGCTTCAGTTCACATCCGTGACGCTGTCGATGGGAATGTGAGAGCAGCTAGTCCGCACAGAGATAAATACAACGAAGTGCACTCGCGGAATCTTCTGCTACCGGCATCGCGCTTCTCAGGGGGCGAAGTATTTGTGGAGCATGCAGAGGGCCGGGCCGTCACCAGTTGCGAGCCGGGGGTGCAGCGGGCCACATTCTGTCTGCAAATGAAGTGCTCTCCTTTTCACCCAGAAGGACGCACGCCACACTTCCGTGGTGTGGAACGCGTCTAGTGTTGATTGCATACCACGTAGGCATGATTCAGAACATGGACTCAGCAGTCAAGGAAGTACTGCATGAGATGGGATTCCAGGTTGGCGAGTGGCAGTGATATAGCTGCCATGTTCCTTGGGCACTATCTACGCGTGTGGTGCAACAAATTCTTTGGCTCGCATTAGTCTGCCAGCTCGACATACGGAGGGAGCAAGTGAGCAAAGTGGGAAATGCAAGCGCGGACCAAGGCCACGAAAACCTTGGCCCTGCCGACAAAGTCGGCCTCGGAGGGGGGGGGGGGTGATATATAGGGCCGTTTTTAGAAAACGCGATTTTCGGCTGCATCCAACCATGTTGACGTCCACTCAGACCCCATCCGTTCACGCGGAGCATCCATGGGATGGGCCAACCATGAGAACGTCCAGATCAGACCATATCCATTGCCGCAGAGCATCCATGGGCCAACCATGATAACGTCCAGATCATACCATATCCATTGCCGCAGAGCATCCATGGGCCAACCATGATGCGTCCAGATCAGACCATATCCATTGCCGCAGAGCATCCATGAGCCAAGCATGTTAACGTCCAGATCAGACCATATCCATTGCCGCAGAGCATCCATGGGCCAACCATGATCACGTCCAGATCAGACCATATCGCTGTTGTTGCCCGTACATGTTTTATTGCTGCTAAAGCGATCGGATCTCATTTTTGCGGTTTTCGTGTTGTTCGCTTTTTGGCCATAAAACAAGTACATGCAATCCTGTGATGCGCAAAAACCCAAGCGAAAACGCATTTGCTATTAATGTAAAACACTGCCAACGTGCTAAAATCGCACGGCGCCAAAAAACTTCATTTTTCAAGAGCCATTTTTCGCTGCTGTCAAAACAGTTTTTTGCACGCAGGCGTGTCCAAAACCCAAGCGAAAACCTATTTTAGAAGAAAAATGAAAACAAGACGAGCGGCGTTTTCGCTGTCTAAAACCACAAAAACCCTGAGGATCCGTTACGCTGTCGTGACCTTGTTGTTGTTGTCGTTGTGGCCGGAATGGTAGTGGCAGTAGTAGCAGCAGCAGCAGTCGTCGTCGTAGTGGTAGTAGTAGTGGTTGTTGTTGTTGTAATAGTGAATAGTAAATAGTACTTGCACGCAACAACTCGGCAGTTTGTGCACACTTTCTTGTTCTGCCACGCGAATTACTGCTCGATGTCGTTTGGGCCTTCTGCTGCTGGTGGTGCTGAATTGCTTCTCGTTGTCGTGCCCAGAAGCCAAAACCATACGATGGCAAAAGCGCACGTTTCATAGAACGAGCTGTGTGAGTTGAGTCAACTGCAAGAGCTGAAGCCAGCAGCGGCCACAGGACTGCAGGGTCTGGGGCCTGTCCTGCGCAAGGAAGGCTTTGTAATTTAATGAAGCACTGCGCAAAGAGAGGATTCTAAAACTCGCTCCCCCAATATTAAAATAAGACGATAAAGCTGTTAATGCTCATTTTGCAGGAGGACAGGGCAGAGCAGAGATCTGTACGCTGCAGCAGACAAGTGTGGCCGTGGGTGGTCTCGCTGCATCTGCCTGCCCCCACGTCGCTCGTGCTTCTGTTTTTGCGAGCACGTCGACCAAGCAGATGCAACGAAAATGCCCAGTTGCTGCAACTGAAGGATTGGATGGTCGAATGAGGGTCTCCTTCATATAGCTTTTCATGAACCGTTTAGTTGTGGAAACAGTTGATTGTGCCCGACATGATTTTGATCATAGCTCCTTGGGGACCGCTGTTCTGTTACGTAGTTGCGCAAACAGGTGAGACGCCTGACTGAAGGATGTGTTTCATAGTTCCTTCGGGACCGCTGTCAGTTGCGGAAACAGTTGATACGCCTCACAGGATGATCTGTTTGATGGCTCTGTCGGGACGGCTGTTCGTTGCTGTTGCGTAACTGAAGGCTTGAATGATCTTTTTCACATATAGCTCCTCATAACCTGTTAGTTGCGGAAACGGGTGATTGTGCCTCCCCAAATGATCCTTTTCACATAGCTCCTTGGGGGCCGCTGCTAGTTGCACAAACGGCTGAAATGCAAAACTGAGGCTTTCGGAAAAATACCTGTGAATATAGGGGTAAGTACTAATCAAAAGCTCGGATTAATTCAATATAGTTGGACTAGAACATGGATAAGCTCCAACCACAAAGTCTCCGCGACACAATTTTCACTAGAACTTGCTATGAATTTGAGCAGAACAGTACGACCTCAAACTCCCAAGAAATCTATGTATCTGAATTAGTGTAGCCCTTTAAACTCCCCAGAGCCGCTTCCGGTTATTGGGAAAAGGTAGATAATGCTCCAGGTTTATATTCGCAAGAAGAAACATCATAATTAGTTTGTACACATAATGATAAGGTGTCGGTTATCACCAGTAATCTCGTTCAACATTGAGGTTAGAGGTTCTTAATTAAGAATTTGAGTAGCTTTGTACACAAAGCAAGACAAAACAACTTCCCCAAACGTTGACTGAATAAAGTCGTTTATGATAGAATGAAGACGATGACGAATGACACAAACAGATGCAAGAAATACATACTACTGATGTGGTTGTGTGGGCTTGGTTGTGGGCCCCACAATCCCCTCTTAGGGTCCATCTGTCTAAACAACATGGCAACCTGCTTCTTGTTTACATTGCTCGGTGCGTCTGCGTGGCAGTAGCAGGTACAAATTTCATGCCTCGGTAGCTATGCTGCCACCCGGACAGTTCGAATCTGCTCGTACGAGTTATTGCTTATGCAGGGACATCCTGGAGCGCAATGAGATCGGCCAAGGTTTTTCGACAACGGTGCCTCTGTATGTGGGCCTGTGTAATGCAGAAGAATGCTATCAGTTTGGAGGTTTCAAGCTTCACGATAACACATAGTGCGGCGGAGCGTGCACGCAATAGCGATCGAACTCTATCCACTCTGCTTCTTTTGTTTGCCCTAACTTTCGTGGCCATCTTCTCAAATCCTTCCGGAGGCCCGTACGTCAAGCGTCTACATGTAAATGCAAGAACGGACCACACATGGCTTAGAGTTGATGTAGAAAGTTGTGGTTGTCAAGCGGGGTTTCTACGGACCCCGGAAGCATTGTTTGGAGTGTGGCCTTCTGGCTTTGTGGATTTTGCCGGCTTCCGCAGGCCCCATGGGTCAATCCTCCAGTTGGAAGACGCAGGACAACAAAGGGTTTAGAGTCCAGAGTTTAGTGTACGCAAGGGAAGTGTTCCAATTGAGGTGTGATCGCGAACCTTGGCGACACATTCAATACCCGAGCAGTTTTCGCTGAATCGAACGTGCCCGAGAGGTTTCCAGTCGTGCTAAGTGAGCACTGCCATACAGGAACAGTCATACCAGAAAGCAGGCCGCCCGAGCTCTGCATTTCGCCATATAATTGTTTAGGCATCCGCGGACCGGTTGCAGCGTGTAGTCTCGTTAGAAGGCAAGCGATCAAACCACCCCATGTGTTGATCAAAAATGAACATTGAGTTTTGCAGCTTCCGGGGGCAACTTCCAAGGATGGTGAACGATGCATTGGAGGGTACATTGTCGTCCTATTCTCATTGCCTGCTTCTGATACATTTTCTGCAATCTATTGCTGTTCTACCGAATCTGCAAGACACCAGTGGCATTCCGGATGCAGCGGAGCGCGCCAAGTTCGGGGAAACTGATCTTTTCGATGGCGCAGCGAGCTTAGCGCTATGACAAGACCATACTTCTGTTGCGCTTAATCGGACATGCAATCTATCGGGTGCTTCTGAGGTGCACGATGTCTGGTTCTTGGATCCTGGACGCCTTCCCAAATCCTCAGAGCGTTGGAAAAACTGGGCTTCCAAGTCTCCTGTAGGAGCTACTCTCAGAGGCTTGCCACTTGCCAGCACTCATGAGCTCCCGGCCCAGTTTCTTCCAGTGTTTATACTGGGGACTGCGAGAAATATGAAGCAAACCGATGGACTAAAGGAGTGAAGACTTCGAGAAAGAAACGGAGTAGATTGCTATTAGTAGCCAAGGAAAACAATTTTTCAAAGTAGAAGCAAACCATTCGACACGACAAAGTCCAGTTGGACAAAGGACAACGAAGAGGAGCAAGATCCGCTCGAACGAGCGAATGTTTTTGAGAAGCAGAAGCCGATCGCTCGAGAGGGAGTGAAGCAAACCGCTGGAAGCTTTTCGAAAAGCAGGTATGCAAGTTGAGGAGCAGGAGCAAACCGTTCGAAAGGGATCGGAGACTGTGAGAACACGGAAAAGGAGGGACAAACCGACTGCAATTATGTACAGTACTTATACAGTCATTGCAGTCTTTGTGAATGGGGGGTGGGCCGCTCGAAGGGACCATAGAAGTTGAGAGAGCAGCGAACCATTCGGAAGGGATGAAAGGAGGCCTGAAACGACTCCGAAGAAACAAGAAGGCTCGAATTTGATGAAATATGTCTGTCTAGCAAGAAGTTGGGTGCAGAACACACGCAGCTTAAACGAACAGTATGAAGGAGAAGCCAACGAAGGGCGCAAGGCGCCAAAGACTTGGGTAGGAAGGGTGCGGCCATAAGCTCTGCGCCGTCACCGGCAGCAGCCACAGAAATAGGATAGGGTCAAAAGAACAGTGCAAAGGGCCAACGATCAATAGCAGCAGCCCACGCAACGGGACAGGAGCAAAGACATCGGTAAGAAGCCCTTCAGCAGTAAGCTCCGGCCAAAGCATTGACAATAAGGCACTGCAGTTGCCAGCAGCCCTCACCCACAGACTAGTGACTGGTAGGGCCTGTATGGACGAATGCATGCCCGCCGTAAACGTAGGCCTAAGCAGCAGCTCACAGACAAATGTGTAGGGCAACATCATTTGGGAGAGGGCAATGGCACAGAGAGCAACAAAGGGAGAGCCGGCACCAGCAGCAGCTTACACCAGAGGGCAAAGATTGGTGAGCAGCGTCCAGCAGTAATTAGCAAGCAGCCAGAACGAAGCAGGTAAGGCCCTCGCCAGGAGGAAAATCCAAGACGGCGTCCAAACGGATCCAACCAGCTGCACACGGCCAACTGCTCTCGATCATCACCGTTTGTGCGAGTGATTTCGAAGCGGACTGCCGCAGACGCATGCCATCAGAAGGGATTCTGCCGCCAAAGCTCCGTCAGGTTCTGCGGGCTTCCAGGAAGTGAGGTTTTGGATAAGGTTCCCAGCACGAGACGCAAGTACCACACATGTCACATACATGGTCAGGCGTCTGGCGTTCCCAGCCCCTCCACCCCCAATGGTATGGTCTGACAGGGGTGGGGGGGGTGGCCTGGCGTGTGCGGAAAGGGGTTGGGGGCCGTTGGAGCTGCCACTGGATGGTGGGGTGGTGCTGGCGGCCAGGGCTCACGCGCAAGCCCTTCGCAAGCAAGCCGTAAACCCTATGACGCAGCGCGTGCCCCTGTTTTGAGCAACCTTAACTTGTACTTAAAACGCTACACCCAACCCTAAACACCACCTAACTGCAGGCTCTGAGCCTAAAGCAGAGCATGCACCGCAAATCCTCCCTAAGCCCTTGTCGATTCGAAGCCTTATACCTTGTAGCCGTAAACCCAAAACTCAAAAGCTTAAGCTAAACTTCATCTTCACATCACTGCATGACGGGTCTAGTCCTGTGCAAACTGAAAAGACGTCCAACAGTCAGAGAACTGACAGGCAAGGCACTTACAGGCCAAACAATGCAAAGTGAAACGAGGAAAGAACCGCAGAACAGGCAGCCCAGGAGAGCGAGCACGCCCCAGCGCCAAGTCAGCCAGGGGCGACAGAGACCTGGTGAGGAGCAGCGAGCCTCCGAGGGGAAGCCTGGCTCAGACATCCGGAGCGGATGGCCTGCAATGACGGTGCGATGCGCCCAGGGAGAGCCACTACCGTTCCAAAACCAAGAACCGGAACGGCAGAGGCACCAACAGCAGCAGGCACAAAAGAATGCAGGGCAGTCCAGAAGGGGGGTGGTAAAGGGTATGCACTCCACATGGCCGAACCGCGCTGCAGCGATCTGGCCACCTGCAAGAAGGTGAGCATGCGCCGCAAGAAAAGGGCCCGCACCTCACAGGCAAGAACAAAGGTATCGCCAGCCCGTGAGGAGGACTTCCTCGCGCCGCAGAAACGACGATAAGCGCCAGGAAGCAGCTGTCCAGGGTGAGGCAGCAGTGAAGGAGCCCCAAAGCTTCCAACAACCGGCCCGGGCCCTAGCTGGCTCCACAGGCAGGACGGTACTGCCCAGTCAGCAGCAGATGCCTCTTCAGAGAAACGGAGCCCGCAAGGGGCAGGAAAAGCATCACTGACTGAGGGGTACCGAGAAGGAGCGACGGACAAAGAGGCATCGACCGGTGAGGTACCGGCCGAGGCCCCGACAGGCATGGCTGGTACAGCAGGAGGTTCAGCAGCAGCGTCCTCAGGAAAAGCAATCACAGGCTGCGGGGTGCGCGTACCTTCTTGGAAGGCAGGCCCAGGAGCAAGAAGGGACAGCTCCGCCTCCAACTCCGCAGGAGTGCAGTGTCTGCCTTCCTCCGCGGCCTGTCGCTGCGCAGGCGTCGCATTGACGGGCCCGAACACACGAAAGGTGGGAGCAAGGGCGTGCGCCGCTTGGTGCCGGAGCCATACTCGTACACAGGTCCGACAACACAGCGGAGACCGTGTTCGCAGGCAGGGGTATGAAGAAGGTGATACCTGAGGCATGCGGAGTTGTGGAACTCAGTTAAACACCACAAGCAAACTGTGCCCAAGGTGTATTGGGTGCAGAGGGCGACCTTGCCATGAAGACGGTGGGCATGGGCTGCCAGAGCATGAACCGAGGGAAGAGTGACGACGCAGTCCCGGCAGATCTTTGCGGTGGCCTGGCCAATCACCCGTCGAGCAGGCTCACAGCCCTGTCCATGCAAAATGTGGTGCAACGCAGCCAGCATGGAACCAGAACGGCTCAGCCGCCGGCAGGCGGCCAGCAGTTCCTTCGATCCCCGACGCACTCCTTCCAAGGTGGGTTCACCAACTCGAAGCGGAGGTAACCGGGTCGTCCAGAAGCGTCGGACAGCATCAGCCAACAAAAATTAGCCCAAGATCCGCCGCGGTCCCAACTGGCCTGGAGGATGTCAAAGACGTCAGAAGATCTGCCTGAAACAATTCGGCAAAGCAGTCGAACCCGGGCGATCAGGGTCGCCGTGTCAACATCCAACACACCCGAGCACGCAACAAGCTGCTGCGTGGCCGCATGGTCGCCGACCTCCCATGCGCCAACGAGTTGGCGGAGACAGGAGTCCAGAAAACCCTTGAGCGGACTCCAGGCGCGCTGAGAGGCAGCAAGAGTGGTGGCGAGAGACGAATCGGCAGTCGGGAGGGTACGGCCCTGAAGCCACATCAATTTCAGGGGCCAGGGCAGAAAGGGGGAGTGAATCAGGCCCGAATACCCCTGCTAACCGCAGCTTCAATGTCGCGGCGGTCCGTGTCCTGGCATCGCTGAGGAACTGCTAGGTATCGGTACTCGGGCACAACACGAATAATCCGGCCATCATCAGCCGCAATGGCCGGTTGCGGCAGCAGCAGTTCCTGACGCGCCGCGTTGGCACCTGCTCCTTGCAGATGTACAAGCGCGTCCGTTTTACCGACCCCCAGGTTCACACGAAACCGAAAGGCCTCGAGCACCTGAAGCAAGATTGTACAAAGCCGGCGGAGACGTGGGCCAGCAAACGCAGCCTTCTCAAAGTCATCGGCCCAGGCGATCTGCAAAGCAGCATCGGGCAACCCCAAAGCGATCCCAAAGCGTCCTATCCAGAGGAATGAACGAGGTCTTCTGCTGCCAGAGCCAAATGCAAGCACTGACAGCGAAGAGGGCCCCAAAGAGAACATCCCCCCATTCGGGAGCCCCGCGTCGCCATGATGGCTTGGGGCTGTCCGATCAGATACCAGTAGGAACACGAGACGCAATCGTGCAGGAGCGCAACCTGGTCATCCTAGCACCCCATCCTTGATGAGACCACGCACCTGCTCGGGCAGAGCGAGGCCACGGAGCTCAGACGAGAGATCTGCTCCCTGGAAGAGGAGGTCCCGATCGGCCTCATAATAGGCTGCTCGGATGTCGACAAAAATAGCAGCCCACGAGCGGCCCCGAACGCTAGCCAGGTCAACTACAGCACGGAAGACAGACAAGGCCATCCCCGTGTCAATGCCCTTGCGGCCGCCGAGTTGGGTCGGGAAATAATGCCCGATGATGGTCTGTCCCAAGGTTCCTCGGACCTGGGAATGCCACAGTTTGGCAACGCCATTTAGCTTGGCAATGGAGCGGAAGTTCTCCAGAAGGTGCCGACCGCGATGGTGTTGGACTTGGGATGCACGAGAGCAATGGCTTCGAGAGTGGCCGCACAGGACCTCATGGAGTTCTGTGACAAGAATCAGAACTGTGGCATTTGGTACACCATTGCTGAGACCACTTCTCAGTTCACCTTTGCCAATTCCGAGTCGACCAAGTGCAACCAGAAGTTGGTCATTTGCATGTACGACCGGGATTATGCAGTTCAATCCACAGAGTTCGACATTGTGGAGCAGGGGCATGTTCCTATTCTCATGTCCTTGCCGCAGATGCGCAATCTTCGTTTCCAGTTCGAACTCCATCCGGAAAAGGCCTTGCTGAGCAGCCCTGTACTGGGAATCAAGGATGTGAAGCTGAAGGTTGCACCCAGCTCACACCTAGTACTTGACCTTCTTGAACTCAGTCAGTTGATGTGGAATGTGCGGTTCAGCAAGCACAAGAAGTCGAGCTTCCTCACCTACTTCTCCCACTACGAGTACGGTTTCCATCAGAAGACCGAGGGATGCTCTTCTCAGGAAGAGGTACCCGAAAATCTCGTGTTGGCGACGGATGATGAATGG